GAATATATGCTTTGGGGGGTGGGAGTGTTCAAAGCAACCCCTCTCAGAATAGAACACTCTCCCGGAACAAGTTGAGACCATCTTAAGCTTAATTAAGACTAAACGACGTAATCCAGCTTGCCAGACCTCACTACAGCTTCTGTCGCGTTACTACTAAGCCAGGCCCATCTAAGCCGTCCACTCGGTGAAAACTAATGCGACAATGACACAGAGGACAGGCACCATGATTCGAACAAAAAATTGATGTAATACACACCAGCACCCCGCATGGCTGGCCAATTGCCGGCACATCGATTTTGGGCAAAACGATGTCACTTTATGCCCAAGTGACTGCAAAACCAACTTGCTATTAAGTATCACTCATGTGACACTTAGTGCAATTTGTGCAATGGTACAAGTGACCTTCCAGGGTCCTGGGGGGGGGGGTTGCAGGGGAAAGGGGAGGCTGGTAAATTTCAGGTTTGGAGGGCAAGTCTGAGGTTGGGAGGGGTTCTTGAGGAGCGTGTCATGGCGTGTCGTGGTGGCCAATTGCCAGCACATGTACGTTGAACGGCCACTCTTTTTTTGGATATGAGCGTGTCACAAGCGTGCCCCCCCCCCCCCCCCGCGCGTTGCATGTGCAATATCATACATGTCAGCCCAACGCCTCAACTGGATCCCCTCTGGTATCCTGAAGTGACGCTTCAACAAAAGTGACCTTTCACTGCACTTTCATGATGGCAAAACATCAGCATGTTTAAGCAAGTGCTGGTCAATTGCCGGCACTTCACCCGGGACGCCAATTTCCGGCCATCGGGGGGGCCTGGCACATGCAGCTGTATGTTTACTGCAGCGCGTCAATCTGTTCACCAAACTCACTTGCCTGACATACTGGTCCAAAAACTCTCTGGACATGTCTGGGTGCTATCACACGCAGCGCAACCCGAATCTTTTGTGGAACCAATTGAGAATCCAGTCATACATGCATCAACTTCAATCACAAGCCATCTTTCCTTGGCAGGTTTGCAGCGAAGAGTGCCCGGCCCTCGTCTCTGAATCAAAGTGAATCACAACGACTGAGTTCTTGCCAGAAGGCGTGTTTCGTACATCCGTCTTTCTAGCGTCGCGCAAGTCCGGATGCCAAATCACATTCGTTCAGCCGAAAGGCGCTGGCATCGATCTGCCCCAAGATGTCCGATGCTTCGATGTGCCGTGGGCTGCGCCGCGCCTCAATGCAGCGCCTTTGAAACTTCTTGGCGAGGCTCATAGACTCCTTGGATTCCTGGGCAACGTGCCGACATTCCAAGCCATGTCTCCGAGACTTGAAAGGACACGATTGCTTTGCGGATGGCTTGGATTGCTTCCCAAAGGCCGGAAAGCTACTCTTTAATGAATGGCTTCCACTTGCATGGGCGTCACTAGGCCGGCCTTGCTGAGCGCCAGTGCCAGAGACAGCAGCCGACGCGCTCGAAAAGCGGCGCTACAAGAAGGAAACCTTCTAGGCAATACCTTTACTACCCCAAGTCACTACTGCAAAGAATTGTCCGGCGGTATCACCTTGCTCCTCGCCTGTTTTGGGGAAAGTGTGGCTAGGGACGTCTGCTCGGGCTGCAGGATTTCGTTCACACGGTCTCTTCAATTTCACTGCACTGGGAGGTCTCCCAAGCGCCTTCCGGAAAAAAAAAGAACAGCAAAAACACGACTGAAGCCCACGCTCCGAAAAGCACAGGAGAATTGACCGCAACGCAACCCCACCCAAAGCGGGACAAAACGCAAATTCGGAACCAAGCCACACGCCGCCCATCAACAAATGAGCTCTGCGATCCACGGGGACAAGGGGGTCATGACAGGCGAGTTGGGATCACCAATTCTCAGGTGAGCTCCAAAGGAAGGCTTGACTCGAGGTTGGAGTTGGGTGGGTTTAGGATTGGTCTTCGTGGTTTCAAAATTCATTGGTGAGTTTGCCTTTGCTAGCTCTGGCATTTGTGGAATACTGGCTTGGTGTCGCATGCGTGCTGTGACTGCCTGCCCCCCCCGTCTGGGCTCCCCCCAACAAGCACGGCCAAGGCTCTCCGCTGTCAGATTTGTTTGACCTGACACTGGCAACAGACCTGACGTGGCCCACCTCCAGCCGATCCGCAGACCGGTGCCGATCCTTTTTCTCCAAAACGGGAGCCTGACACGCGCCAGGGCTGATGTCTGGGGCTACATGGGGCTACCCAACATGCAGAAGTCGCTAGTTCTTAGACTCCACCGTGATTAGCATTGGGAGGTCTCCTTTCTGTACTCACTGCGTACCGGCCTGGTGAACCACCAGTTCAACAGAGTTGTACCTTCAAGGCCTACCCTCCGAAGGAAACAAACATAAACAAGGACTTTTGGAGAAGTTGGTCCTACGAAAGGGCCAAATGGGTAGCATATATGATAGCATTCTACGAGTACGGATGAACTCATGTAAGGCTACGACTCTGGAACCCTTGGCCTAGGCCGGGAAAAATGCCATGTACATAATACCGGCCGAGGCTCCATGATAGACCTGACACTGACAGGGAACCCAGATCTGACGTGGCCCGCCTCAAACCGTTCCGGAGACTGCTGCCGCTCCTTCTCTGCAAAAGCCTGACACAGGAACAATGTCGGGGCTTTTCAAAATGCAGCGCTCGCCAACTCTTTTTCCAATTTTGGCCATGCATAACGAAGAACTTGATCCCCTTCGCAGCAGAAGATAAGATGAGTAGCCCCAAGCCTCGGACTTTGACCAGGAGGCGGCTCCACAAAGAGATTTTGCACTGGACCCCGTCGGGCCTGCAGCATCATGTGCGTTTGGTGCTCGACTTTGGCAAGCTCCAGCACGTGTTGCTGAACAACCTGCGGCTCGACCAGGACGCAAAGTGGAAGCATGGACTATGGGTGAGGGTGCTGTTCCTGTGATGCTGTCACCCCTCCATCCAGAAACTCAACAAAGGACGGAAAGCAAGCACTAAACGTCAGTCGTAAACAAGCCATTTTGAACCCTCGGCCGAACAGCGCCCCTTTTCTTTCCAACTGCCGGCTGGGCGTACAAAGAAGCCTCGGTGGTTAAGTATTATAGATGCTCCCTTCACAAACCAAATCATCAAACGAAAGCAAGGAAACAAACAAGCAAACACGCCAAACAAAAACACACACACACAAACAAAATTCCTCCCAGCCGGTCACCAAGCAAGCAAGCCAATCCAAGCCAAGCCACGCAAAGCAACCTGAGCCAAGCCAGCCAGCAAGCCACACCAAGCCAAGCCAGCAACACAAACATCAACACACACACACAAAACAAAAACAAGCAACACTGCGCGGGCGCTCGGCATATTGCTGCAAGTCAATCCACGGCAACTGAATGCTTGCAGCTGTGTCTGCTTGCCTCGCCATGAGTGGGTCATTGGCCTTTGCATCGCCTGTCGGGAAGTACTATCAGACGAATGTCTGTAATAATGGCCCTGCCTTGTCCACCACAGCTTGAAACGCCTGCGAAGCCATTTGCCACTCAGTGCCTGGCGAGGCGGCAAAGCAACGACCTTCGAGGTTGGCTCAAGCCCAGAATCTCAGCCCACTGCAAACTAGGCCTAGACGAACACAAAGACTCTGAGGTGCCGCATGTCGGACAGTCGCATTTGCAAAATCTGACCCCGTCCGTGAACACAGGCAATTTTTTGCCACTCGAGGGACACCTGTTCTGATGCTGAAGGGATCCCACGACCAAGTGAGCACAAGCAGTACAGCAACAGAAAGCTGTCTTGGGTGCCATCTTGAAACGCCACCTTGCGTCAATACCCCAGTGAATTTCAACATGACCCGCGCCGCGATTGGCACAACTTGCGAGCACAAAAGGCCCAAAATTAATTCACTTCAAAGGTCAAAATGCACTATGCTCCAGGCTCACAAAAACGTCCACCATTGCTTGAATCTTGCGCATGTACCAGCCCATGCTCACCAAATGAGATTGCAAGAGCTGCCCAGCCTTGATCCATCTTGAACTGATGAACAAGCCAAAGGGCCAAAGTGGGTCAGCAAAAACGTTGAAAGAAAGCCCATGCCCCAGCTCAGAATCACAGCACTCTGCTCCCATGTGCTCCCTGGAAACTCGGCTCACACCGGCGTTCCCGCCACCTCGCCCCAGTTCGAAGCCAGGTGGTACCGGCATCGCGGCGCGCGCGGCTTGCTTTTCAAGCCGACCCACCCGGTCACCTTCTGGACACGAACACGGGAAACGTATGGAAACAAAAATCAGTTCTGTCAGCCTGACACCGACGGCCATGAAGCCTCAACTTGGCTGCAGCTATGTCTCTGCACCTGTGTGAAGGTAGGAACCTGGCAAGTGGCGTCTGGGCCAGCAAGCTTGGGCCGGAGGCGGAGGCTCCAAGAAAGGGAGGCTGCACTAGCGAAATTGGTCACATGCAACACCGCCTCCAAGGGACACATATATGGCCACCACAGCCCACGTTACGATTGAATCAAACGCAGCCCGACCCACTGCGGTTCAGTTAATCACCCTATGTGGCTTTGGGTTCAAGCCCGCCGCCCGGGTGACCCGAAACCCTGACAGAAACCCGCTGGCCAAAGGCTCTTCATTACAAACTCTACGTCCCCGATGTCCAGCATGACATCCAGAATCTTGTCGCGAAGAACGGCTGGGTTCATTGGATCCTGCGCAGCTCCCACTGGTGAGCAGGGAACGAGCCCCGCTGCTCTTTCTTGGGCCCTCATCAAAGCGGAGATCACAATCCGAGGAAGGCCCTTCCACACGCGCGTTCCCAAGAATCTTGCCCACGCCTGCGTGGCATTGTGCTTCCTTCCTGGGCAGAAGGCTTGCAAGCACGTGAGGAAGTGCGTCACCGTCAACCCGCGAGAAATCTGGTAAGAGGCATGGCCCTCAGGTCTGATTATCCGCAACGTGCAAGCTTCGACAATGGGGTTGTTTGACGCCTGCGTGTGCTCCAAGATTGAGGAGCACCCTGCTGAACACAATCCCAAGTGGTAGTACATGGCAAAACCTAAGGCTACAAAGGAACGTAGTGGCAGCCGCCATGCACAACTTGGCTCATGTTGTCAGAGTTGTTCATGGGGAGAGCTTAGTTGCAGTAGGGGTTCTGCTTGATGCCAAAATGGGATTGTTGGGGATGGCGTTCCGCTGCACAACTATCATGCGCAAGTTTGTGCACTCCCAATTCAGGCGAACTAGCTGTTCTTCACTCCGACACACACACACACCCACACACCCACACACCCACACACCCCCACACACACACCCACACACACACACGTGGAAAAAGCAACCGGGGTTCGGTGGTTGGTAGCCAATGCGCGGCAATTGAATCTGTGTCTGCACCATGTCTCGCTATGCCAAAGCCTGAATGAGAAGCCTCCATCCAAGGATTTTTCATGGTTGAGCTCATCACAGATTGGCCAGACCTACGCAGAGTTGACTTGAAACTTCTCCTACCACAATGGGGTCCACTTACAAGACGGGGTGCTCTGCAGAAAGTGGATACTGCCCTGACCCTGCATCCAGTTCTGAAATTCCCACATGTCAAGTTCACCAGCGAACGTCGACAGGTTGCCAAAAATAGACAATGTCAGGGTCAGGATGGGAACAATCTGCATACCGGGCGGAGTTTTTCAAGTGCATCCTAGCAGCTCCCTGCTTTGCACGCAGCCCTGGAGCCTGCCACGCCATAAGATCCCAAACACGGCATCCCCGTCAAACAAGTTGCAAGGGTCTCGCTTGAATCTGGCTTTGGGACCTGTGAAAAGCTCTTTCATATTCGTTTGAGCACAGTGGCGGAAACAAGATTTCACTGTCTCTGGGACCATGCCGGATGCAAGTGAGTGACTGACAAAAGCATCAGCAGCACAAAATCTTTCTAAGCAGGCGCACTGCAGAAGCGCGTGCTCTGCTCATCATTGCCCGAAGGAGAACCCTTCGACAAGGTCTGACTGAAACGCCCTTCCGAGTTTGACAACAAGCCTTGTTTGCAACAAACAAGCTACAAGCGGGCTCTCAACACCATGCACTCTTTGGCAATATCTTAGCCATCCAGCAAAGAAGCGCTTGCAGGCACGACGCAACTAGCCTTTGCCACAGCGGGTGTCGACGGAAGTCATCGGTGCCATGGTGTCGTTGGCGGACTCATCCACCTTGCTGCCAAACAAACGGTATGTGCACTGCACGCCTCCATCAGACTTCATGTAATTCACCGCTCACTCCCAGTCCATGGGTTGGTGTCCATTGATTTGCAATGAAGCCGCGCAGCTTTGCTCATTCTGCCTTTGTCCAAGTAGCATCTGACAGCAGAATGTCCAGCCAGCTCCCAGGCAAAGGCACCGGCTTGCCCCTCTCCACCACCTCCAGCCGACCCAGAATGCCTCACATTCGCAGCAAAGAACCTATCATGACCCATCTGCTCTGACCACAATGGCGCTTTTGAACAGCGGGCAACATACGACGTGCCTCATGGCTCAAAGTTGTACCATGACATGCCAGCACTAGCAGGACAAGGGTAACATGGCCATGGTCCAATCCCAAACAATCCAATATAGGTAGTACATACCCTCCAAATGGGTGAAATGTTGGTGTACATTTATTATATGTGTGTGTGTGTGCATCTATATCCGTATATATACATATACATGTGTATGTAACCTACATGGATTGTCTGGGATTGGACCCTTCCAAAAGTTTCAGTCAGGGCTGTTGCTCACACATGGGCCATATGGCCATATGGCACACCCTTTGAGTTCTCGCAACTGCTGCAAAAACCGATCGCATGTCTGGCGCATCAGGTTGGTCCTAGGTCCAATGCTAAGTCGCTAGCTGCTAGCTGTGTCCCGCTTTTCTGCCCGTTAACATAGAAGTAATACCCGGCAATTAGAATACGGCGTTTATAACGTAATTATTTGCTATTATTTGTTATATTTCTACAAATATGCTGCAAGCTCCCTGGGCATACGTCTATATGACTGATTGCTCTGTGACTGCCCGCACACTAAAACACGATTTGCGTAATTGCGCCTTGTGGCAAGGTGGCAAGACTTGGCCACGGACGTTTTGACAAGTGTGGTGTTCAAAATTGCAAGCAAGGTTCACAGTGCCGCGTGCCAGTGCTTCTATGACGCTCCGTGCTGACAAGCACCAGGTTGTGATGTATGTTTTCTGCTTGTGTGTTATCTTGCACGGCGGGTTCTTGTTTTTCCTTCCGCGGCCGCTTCCTGCAATATCAAAACCAAGAGTGTCTGCAAAATGGTCTCATCGCAGCGCAGCAAGACCGATGCAAGCACAGTTTTGGCAGCGCTGGTTGGCTAATGTGTGTGTGTGTGTTCTGCTACCGCGCTGCAAATGCGGCTGGCCATTGGCTGTGTCTGTTTCCTCTGAGCTGAGATGGTCAAGCAGGGTTCTCCACCCTCAGCCATGACGGACCATGAAGCCCATGATGACTCCCATGGATAAGGCGTCACGGAGAACAAGCAACAACAATCAAGAGCTGCCAAGAAGCACGCAAGGACTCGCTGACCTCATGAGTGACTGACTGACGACAAATGGGCAGGCTGAGTGACTTCCTGACTCAGTGGCCAACTGACTTCTGGCTGGCTGGGCTGGCTGGCTCGACTGACTCACCCACCCACCCACTCACCAAGGAGAGAGTGAGTGTTGAGCAACGTGCCCTTCAAGTCACCCTCTCCTGCCTTCCTCTCGTGCATTTGCTAAAGGGGTGGTGATGCCGTGCTTACATGGCGCAACACCTCTTTGCAGCCAAGGTGCGCTTAACCCCCTCAAATGCTACCCTGTACTGCGAGAACTCAGACACATTGACCACCGCCGAAATGAAGCCAAGCTCATCCTTGGGAGACTTTTTTCGCCGCGACCCAACACAGGACTGCAGCTGCAAGCAACCATGTGTGTATATATGGGGGTTGTCCTATATTCCTTTGCCCGGGATTGGGCCCTTGGGCCGCACTTGCGCGGCACTTGCGCGGACTTGCGCACGCACAGTGGCGCAGAAACTCGTTTTCGTTGACCTCGGTTTGCGAAGTTTTCGTGTGGATTGCGCGCAAGCTTTTCTAAGCAGTGTGTTCGTCGTTCACACAGCAACCCACAAAACTCTTCCCGCTGAGGTGGGTCCCGGTAATTCTAGGCCAGCAACATACCCTTGACCCGACAGAAAGGACAGCAGGCTCTGCCACACAGCTTGGACACAGCCTGAAAGAAGGAAAGTGCATGGTGCGGCTGCCTATCCATTGCTTGAACCGCGCCGCTAAGGACATCCGAGACGGCATGGCTAGATGTCTTGCTGGCGCTTCTCGTGCTTGCGCGCAACTTGCGCGCGGCTTGCGCGCGGCTTGCGCGGATTTTGTCGTGTCAGCTGCCAGTTGCTGATTGTTGAAGTCATGACCGTAGAAGCTTTGGCTTCGTTTGGCGTGTGACGAAGAAAACGCCGCACCTTTTGCAAACAAGCTTGTGACCTACACATGACCCAAGCAACATTCAAAAAGCATAAGTACAGCAACAAGATGTCACCTCCTTTCATGAAGCTAGGCAACATCAGTACATGAAACCCTTCAAAACTGTAACCTTGCGCGTCCCTTGGGCCGCACTTGCGCGCTCCTTGCGCGCGCACAGCTTTTGACAACTTTTACTTCTCCCCGTTCGGCGATAATTAAAACCGAAGACTGGGGTTTTAGGACGGCCCTCATATATATACAGTGTAAGGCTGCTTGGAAATACAATAGTACGTCAGCATTGCGTTTCGGAAAGCACGGTGACCCGTGGGACAACAAAACTGCCACACATCAGCTCGTCGCATTCCATCTTGCATCTGCGGAAAGGTGGGAAGGGAACATGGATGGAAAGCTGAAGAACTCGTTTTTGACCGCTTGTGCGATTGCCACCGCATAGGAATCGGATGCGATCGGAGGTACTTAGCGCAAGGAGTGGCCTGCGCGTGCACCACTGCACTTGCACGTACGCTGCACATTGTTAGCAACGTATTGTTGCTGGGCGCCGTTGCTGACGAAACCTGGATTTCCCTCTTGCAGCTTTCCACCTCGGAGCCCCACTTGCAGGCTGCTGCGCTGGCTCGTTGAGAAAGTTCAGTCGTCGCACTCCAGGGCCGCTCCCACCATTCCAGCCAGGCGTTGTTGCGCAACGCATGGACGTGCCTATGTTGACATGGCCAGGAAGCACAGAACCAACGGCATCACATCTGGGCACCCAAGGCCGTCAGCAGCTGGGTAACTTTCCTTAGCTCGGGTAGCTAGTACCCCCGGGTCAGAACTGTGAGCACCGAGAAACTTCTCTCTCTCTTGCTCTCTCTTGCTCTCTCTTGCTCTCTCTTGCTCTCTCTCTCTCTCTCTCTCTCTCGCTCCCTCTCTCTCTCTCTCTCTTTTTCTCGCGCTCTCTCTCTCTCTCTCTCTCTCTCTCTCTCTCTCTCTCTCTCTCTCTCTCTCTCCCTCTGACCACCCAAACACTTCAACAAGGACAGGGCCAGTCGAAAGGAACAAAGTGAAAGAACGTCATTGCACCATTGAAAGGATCAGCTGCCCATTCTTCCAGCCAACCATTGAGTCCAATGACTTGACAACTTGAGGGAACCCCGGTAATTGTATCACCTTTTCCCCCAACTGGCTTGCAGGAAAGTCAACATTGCTGCTCCCGAACTGGACCCATCAAACATTCATATGCCCTGTCATGTCATACAAGTATGCGCCGCTGCCACTTCTAACCTGCCCTTAAACCACCTTTAATCTTGTAATCACACTTAATTTCAGTCGTGCCTTCGAAATCAATGATTCCAACTGGACCGGACTACCACGAGAACCGCTCACAGAAAAACAAAAAGAGGATCTGCCGTGTCACGCTCCAAACGTCCCGAACAGTTTCTGATTCTCCTGCAAAACGCATCAACACCTCTTCACATAGGTGTGACTTGTAACTAGGGAGCCTTTGGTGGACATCGTTTACATAGAAATTCCTGTCTGCCGCCATTTCTCCGTGGTGTGTTGCCTGAACATTGCCAGCCACCTCTCCCTCCCCGATTTTTGCTTGGCGTCTCATGGCCGTTCATGGCCCCGTGGTGCCAGGCAGAGGCGCCCGAGGAATCGGAGGCGTTCACCGCGGCCGAGTGGGCGATGAGCGCCTGGCAGATCTCCAAGCAGCCCACACCCGCAGCCACCATGAGCGGGCTCAGACCTCCTGAAAAGCGCCATTTGCGTTTTCGCCCCCTGGAAAAAATCAACATCCAGTGGTGATAGATTCCCTTTAAAACCAACAGGGGAAAACAAATCTTAAGTGAAGCGCCCACGAACGGCTTGGAGAGGCGCGTTTTTCTGTGGATTTATACCGGTTCTTCTTCCCCCTGTTGGTCCTCTTGAAGCAATATGTTTGGTACTCTTTTAATCTTCACGGGTGGATCCACAAAAGCCACATCCAAACCGTTTTTTGACGTTTACTTTGTTCACCATTCTCAAAGTTACCCTCGTGGTGGGGCAAAGGGAGACCACCCCAGACCTGCTATCTGCTATCCGCAGTGGGGCAAAAGAGGCAGATCTGTTGGTTTTTAGTGGGCTTGCCAGGGTTAAAAGGAAGCTCCAGCTAGCACAAGGGCAGATCTGGACACAGTGTTGCAATACGAAAGGGGCAGCTTTACGAGAAGCAGCACGGCTACTCAGAAACAACACCGGGTCCAGGGTTAAGTTGCCACCTTGGTTGCCTGAAGGTAAGATCCTGATAAGGATTGTCCCAAACCATGCCCCATTTTTGGAGGAAGCCACATTGCCCGAGAATCTCAAAATCCCTCCTCTTATGACCTCTAGTGATTCCTCAGCAGCCTTCTCCATACCGTTCGTATTGTCTCTAGCCGTGGCGGTGGCGGCCGCCGCATGGGTTCATGCTGATGCTGGCAATGGGCCAGCAGCCCAACCAGACTTGTTGCAATGCTTCCCGTGTTCGCCGTTGCTTAAGACTTGAGACTTGGTCCATGGTTGAGGATGTCTAGGACTGAATCGTTTGGATAGAAGTAAGCAATGGCGGGCGAACCAAAGAACCTGCCAATTCAAAATCACTATGACCTTGTCTCCTTTTGCAGTTCTAACTATCTCGATGTCACTTCCTCAATTCAAGCAACATGGTCTGAAAATACAATTTTCGGGCAGGTAAGCAGCTGCATCAGCTGCCAAATTTGACAAGCAGTCCTGGCTGCAGCAGCACCTCAACACAGGCCTGGCGCTCCAACAGGAGCTTGGCCACTGCGGGGTGGCGGTGGTAGGCCGCTATGTGAAGCGCTGTGGGAGCACCTCGCCAGGGCACGAAGTCCACGTGCACGGCGTCCAGCAAAAGCTGCACCTGGGCACGGCTGAACTAAAGCTGAGTGTGTCCACCAGCGACACTGCTTGCTGACCTGCCACGGAGGATGGACCAAGACTAGAGGAACAACAGAGCAGGAGGTTTGGGCAGTGGAAGCCATTCACACGGCAGTAAGGCCGAGATGCATCCTTAAAAGGAACCGGAGTACGACGCACGCACACGCACACACACGCACACACGCACACACACGCACACACACACACACACGCACACACGCACACACGCACACACGCACACACGCACACACGCACACACGCACACACGCACGCACACACGCACGCACGCACACACACACACACACACACACACACACACACACACACACACACACACACACACACACACACACACACACACACACACACACACACACACACACACACACACACACACACACACCCACACACACACCCACCCACCCCCCCACCCACCCACGCACGCACGCACGCACGCACGCACGCACGCACGCACGCACGCACGCACGCACGCACGCACGCACGCACGCACGCACGCACGCACGCACGCACGCACGCACGCACGCACGCACGCACGCACGCACGCACGCACGCACGCACGCACGCACGCACGCACGCACGCACGCACGCACGCACGCACGCACGCACGCACGCACGCACGCACGCACGCACGCCCACGCACGCACGCACACGCACGCACGCACTGCACGCACGCACGCACGCACCGCACGCCGCAACGCACGCACGCACACGCGCACAGGCGCACACGCGCACACGCGCACACGCGCACACGCGCACACGCGCACACGCGCACACGCGCACACGCGCACACGCGCACGCGCACACGCGCACACGCGCACACGCGCACCACGTGCACCACGCGCCCACGCGCCCACGCGCGCACGCGCGCACGCGCGCACGCGCGCACGCGCACACAGGGAACACACACGCACACACACACGCACACACACACACACAACACTTGCAGAGACACGAAGACACCGACACACACACATGAGACACAGAGACAGAGACGCGCACACACACTCAAACGCACAAAAAATCCACGACTGTTCGTAAAACCAGTCATGATTTGGGGAAAACTACTTTCAGTTTATGACTTCCACTTCAGATCCAAGCGATGCATGTTCTACCTGGCTGAAAGCAGCGCAACGTCAAAGCAAAGGCTTCAGGCTTTTCGAAAATGGCAAAGCAACTCTTTCTCGAACGCTTTATCTTTTCGTTTTGAAAAACCCGAGCCAAGCCACGATCATCGTTCGTCCCGCCCGCGCTGCCAAGGACATCGGGGTTTGCCCATGCAGGTCTGTCACCTCCCCGTGGGCGCGGCACTGCAGCAAGAGGCGTACCGTCTCTACATGCCCGCGCTCACTGGCCAACATCAGAGAGGTCCTGCCGGTTCAATCAGCGCTTTGGCTTGGACCCGGCTTTGCCTTGTCTCAAGGTCTTTGCAGTTACTTGTGTACTCACAGATTACCGTGAAGTCCTGAAAGCTCAGCAACACTCGCCATGCGCTTGACGGGGCCAAGCTCTGTATACGCGCGCAGGGCAAAAGAAGGCATCGCAGAAGGGGTGCTCACAATGAAAAATCAACATCTCAATTGCTGGTTGAGGCAGTCCTGGAAAATTGTTTGTAGCCTGAATGGCGACATCAGAAAGTTCCAACTGATTGGCTAGGCAGTGATGGTGTTGCATTTTCATCCTCTCCTGAACCCTCTTGCTTTTGAAGCTGGTTGTCCAATGGCCACTCGCTTGGATCCACCTGACGCCTCCAAAGCCCGGCCGTCCTCTGCAGCTCATCCCGGGCATCGGCGCGCGCGGCGCGCGCCAGCAGCGCCTCCGCCACGCGGCCGCTGCCATGCCACGCTGCGAAGTGCAGCGCGGAGGAACCGAGGCCCAGAAGATCCGCGGAGCGCGGCACCGTGCCCGCCGCACACAGCACCTGAGAAGTTAGTGACCGTTCCCACAAAAGAAGCCCCAAAAAGAGTGCTCTGTGTACGGGGGTTCCACTCTTTCTTCACTTCGGCAAACTACAGCCTGGAACAAGGCCGGCATTGGGCAGGCTTGGTGACCAACAAAAGGAAGTCGAAAGGCCAACGCATACCCTGGCACATCACTGACCACCTACTCTCATGACTCAACCTGCCAAAGTTGAACTGGTGGCAGCAACAACAACATTTAAGAGTTCTTCGTTCCAAAACGGAGAACTGTCAACAACTCCATGTGTCTGCACCCGCCAAAAATGCAAACAGCTGATACGATTTCACTCCAACCACCACCACCACCACCAGGAACAAGGAACAACAACAAGAACAGCAACAGCAACCACAACAACAAGGCAACAACAACAGCAATACCAAACACTGAGAGACTAGTCAAGCTCAAGACTGAACCACAATCGCCCGAACGAAAATGATCATCACTCTTTACCAAACTCGAGCACCCAACTTCTTTTCAGCGGTTCCAATGAGTGCGGACGCTTGTGCTTAACATTGCTTAACAATGGTCATGGTGGATACAGCTCTGACATGGGTGCGCGTGAACATGTGTGCTTAACAATGGTCATGGGGGATTTAGCTCTGACATGAGTGCGAATGGACGTGTGTGCTTAACAATGGTCATGGTGGAAACAGCTGTGACATAAGTGCGCGTGGACCTGTGTGCTTAACAATGGTCATGGTGGATACATCTCTGACATGTGGACGTGTGTGCTTAACAATGATCATGGTGGATACACCTCTGACATGAGTGCGCGTGAACGTGTGTGCTTAACAATGGTCAGGGTGGATACAGCTCTGACATGACTGCGCGTGAACATGTGTGCTTAACAATGGTCATGGGGGATTTAGCTCTGACATGAGTGCGAATGGACGTGTGTGCTTAACAATGGTCATGGTGGAAACAGCTGTGACATAAGTGCGCGTGGACCTGTGTGCTTAACAATGGTCATGGTGGATACATCTCTGACATGTGGACGTGTGTGCTTAACAATGATCATGGTGGATACACCTCTGACATGGGTGCGCGTGAACGTGTGTGCTTAACAATGGTCAGGGTGGATACAGCTCTGACATGACTGCGCGTGGACGTGTGTGCTTAACAATGGTCATGGTGGGTACAGCTCTGACATGGGTGCGCGTCGACGTGTGTGCTTAACAATGAACATGGTAAATACAGCTCTGCCATAAGTGCGAGTGGGCGCGTGTGCTGAACAATGATCCTGGTGGATACAGCTCTGACATAAGTACGCGTGGACGTGTGCTAGACAGTGGTCATGGTGGATGCAGCTCTGACATGAGTGCGCGTGAACGTGTGTGCTTTACAATGATCATGCTGGACACAGCTCTGACATAAGTGCGCGTGAACGTGTGCGCTTAACAATGGTCATGGTGGATACAGCTCTGACATGACTGCGCGTGGACGTGTGTGCTGAACCATGGTCATGGTGGCTACAGCTCTGACATGGGTGCGCGTGGACGTGTGTACTTAACAATGGTCATGGTGAATACAGCTCTGCGCGTGGACGCGTGTGCTTAAGAATGGTCATGGTGGATACAGCTCTGACATACGTGCGCGTGGACGTGTGTGCTAAACAGTGGTCATGGTGGAAACAGCAAGTGCGCGTGGGCATGTGTG